CAGGTACTCAGGGCAAACCCCACCTGGACAGCTGCTCACCTGCGCAGGTACTCAGGGCAAACCCCACCCTGGATAGCGCGCGGTCAAAGATGACATAGAAGCCCTCCATGACGGTCGCGCCGATCACCAGCCCGCTGGAGGAGGAGGAGATGCCGAAGCGGTAGCACTCCAGAGCGTTGCCCACTTCCGTGATGGGCTGGATATACAGCTGCGAGCAAAACACACTGGTTTGACACTGAGGGACTCCTCTGTAACCCGGGACACCCGCGCAAAGACACAGGTTTCAAAATTCACAGACTTCACAGCCATGGCTTTGCTTGAATAGTAACTAAATTGTGAAAGAGAAGATTAAACAAGCAGGCTTTGTTCTTTTAACACAAACCTTGCCATTAATACAAAACCTCTCCCTCTGCTGTCCTCTTTATGTGAAGTGTGGCTGCCATCTAGTGACTGCGATCTGCATCCGCAAACAAAAACCTTGATTTTGGAAAGGTGGAGAAGACTAGGGAAGCATGTTTACAGCAGCGGTCTAGGTAAAGACTAAAGAGGGTGAGCGCTCCTTTGTCATGTGGCCTACAGATCTATAGTCTGTCACCAGCAGTAAATAATGTTTTTGAATCTGAGCATGATTTACATCACTTTGGAAATACAGCACCTACTTAATGTACAGCACTCTCACTGTATCATATTGAGACTTAATAGTCTTTGAACTGGCTCTTCCTGTGGAAAGCCAGGACAAAAAAATTCAGATTACTGATCACATTTCAGTTTAAGATTTTTTTTCTTGTTCTAAAAGAAGCATGCATAAAGAGAGAGAACTGTTCCATAGGGAATTGGAATAAATTAATCTAAGATGAAGGCATCACAATTTCCCAACTGCACAGTGCTGTCTAGACTCGTCTCTCCTGGCGTTCACTCCCGGATAATACCCAAGTGTACAGGCAGGAGACGTCTACGCCAGGATATAAAACCAGCAGGAAAGGCCTCAGCAGTGCTGTGTGGGGATGCTGACAGCTCACAGACCCACTCCCGCTGTTGTCAGCAAGTCCCAGAGACCGAGGCTCCTTGAGCACAGACTGAACGAGTTTCCCTCAGACTGTTACCATCCCAGACAAGCCTGCTTCACCACCGACTTGTTGTTTTCTTAACCTTTCAAACTCTCAAACCTTGTGGTTTGGGCTTAAAGTATCTCCCTTGTAATTCAATGGACAGCCAACGAAACCAGACACCCCTTCCCCCTGAGTCTGTGGCACCAAGATTTTAGGAGGCTTTGTTCCTCCTTTGACTGCTTACCTGGGGCAGGATGGTGATGCTGAAGGACTGGCTGGCATTCATGGCCCTCAGATAGATGGAGATCTTGGGGAAAAACGGCCAAGGTGTTTCTCCTTTCATCCAGCACGCCAGCTTAGTGCCGGTCCAGAATCCGTCAGAGAAGTCCTGGATCTGTTGGCAAGATTGGGAGGGTCCTGCAGTGAAGTACACTGCCCAGCACTGTGACACAGATCCCTGATCCCTCAGATATGCAGTCTACAACTCTTCATGCCAGCTCCCATTATGGACAGCAGATGGTGCTGTTTTCAATGAGAGAAACCACAATTCTCTAAAACAGGTCCAATTTTTATCTCTTATTATCTCTTTTTTTATTACACCCTCTTTCATTCTTAATTATTCTCATGCATTCAAGCCTTGTGAATTCAAACATTCACACACTCAAGCTCCCAAGTATCACAATGGAAGTCTATTCAATAAATCAGAGTGCTTAGAATTTTAGTTTTGCAAAGAAGCAAAACTTAAAAACGTATTGCAGCAAAATAGTACAGCATTTTTTAAATGGGATTTTAAAACTTGTACTTTTTTAGATTCTTACATAACATACAGTAAGCTTTTCTTAGGATTAAGTCTAAATTGCAAGACTTGTACCACAAATTATTTTTGTACTCATCTGGTTCCAGCAATGGATTACCGGTGAAAGCAAAAATAGTCCAACAGCTTTGAAGGCTTAAGATCTGAGAATAAATATTCACTTAAGTAGTTCCATTTAGCACTATTATAGTTTCAAACAGAGCATTTAGAAGCACCAACTGTACCTTTGTACCTACTGTACAAAGCATCTGGAAAAGTAAAACATTTCCATTAAACACAGAACACAAGTCAAAACACGTAGGCAAGTTTTGTTATTTTTCCCTTTCATTTGCCGTTTTCCACAGAATGAGTCTTTAGCCTTTTCTCAAACTATAAACTTCCTGCTTCTCTTTACAACATAAGGTTGTGAGAAACACAACTGAAATCGTGTCCCAGTCAGGGTTGGAGGAAAGCCGTTGTCCACAATCCTACCAGGGCCTCGCGGACGATGGCATCCACGACCGCGCGGAAGACGTCCTGGGGAAGCCGAAGCAGCGTGGTCCCGCTGTCCACGATGGCCTTGTCAGCATTGTACTGAGAGGAGGAAAAGAAACACAGAAATGTAGCAGGTTTTACTGAACTTCCCGAGCGAACAGGACTCCTGTGACTGCAGACGTATTCACACGGTTTCTTAGCCAGATATTTAGGACGGAGTGTTTGTGTTTTTGCCTGCTCTTTTGCTTGAGGTGTGTTGTGCTTGAAAACTGAAAAGCTCCGCTTCATTGTCCAAACTCATGACGAGACGTGACCAGATGCATCCTCAGGCTCAGAGGAATGCCCCACACTAACAGGCTAAAAGCACTGAATATTTTTACTCTCTCGCAGAGGAGGGTCAGGGACACTTGATTCAAGCATTCAAAATTCTCCTCGGCTCTGTCGAAGTCATCCCAGCAGAATCAACAGTGAACCACGAACCAGAGGGCACCAGCACAAGTGCATTTGAAAATGGGACAACTAGGTGTGGTACACAAAAGTCATATTTTATCCATAATGGTAACAATGAAGAGGAAATTGCTGTAAAACAAAAGGAAAAGGACAACTATGGATGTATTGTCTTGGAAATTGTGCAGGTAACTCTTTCCTCCAATGAGTAAAATTTGTACCTGTTTACAGTCCAAGTTTAAATTCTGATTCCCAACTTCGAGCTTTAGGATTTCGACCTGGTAGTACCATTCCTCCTTGACAGGGGTGTACCAGACCGACCCTTGGTACAGGAGTGGTTCGATCCCACCCATGATCTGAAACAGAAGCATTGGGGTTTAGTTGCAACCTGTGAGGAAAAGTCATTTCCACACATTATAAAACTAAATGGAAAAAATGTTTATATCTTTATAGGATTTAAGAAGAGTGTGTTATTAGCCATAACATTAGAATAAAACAATGGTACAGTACTACACCAAAATAAGTACAGCAATGCATGTGAAGTTTATCATCTGCAGATGAGGAATTACCCCCCTGTGGTTCATATTTCTTTAATTGGTTTAGCACTTCTGAATATCCCACTCGCATCTTGTGTTTCAAGTGTTGGTACGCATCTGTGACTCCTGGTATATCTGGGGAGCTCGACAGGGGAAACTTGCACTGAACTGCCATCTCCTCCTCTGCTCTTCGCTCAGTGACTCGCAGTCCTGCCTTGACCCTCTGAACTGCGTCCAACGCCCAGCTTAGAGACACGAGAGGCTCGGCCTTCAGGTCCGCTAATGAGATTCACAGAGGCCTGCTGCAGCAGCTCGCAGCCCAGGAGACCGGGGGAACGAGGGAAACCTGCCGGGGCAGGTTACTGTCGCTTATTTGAATAAAAAATATACTGTCGTCCGAGACATATTCTGCACTTGTGTCACAAAGGCAGAGAGCAGGTCGTGAGCTTAGGCTCTAGATCCGTCGACACCGAGGAGTCAGCAGATCATACTGGCCACCTGGGAGCATTCGTTTCACACCCGCTGCCCCTGAGTATGCCCCAAGAGCTGTGGGTTGTGGGTATTTTCATTTTTAAATGACCTTGAAACTGCTTCTTTGAACAAACCACCTGCTGAGGAGGTCAGAGCTGAAGTGCTCCAAGGGTCTAAAGCAGCAGATCTGGGGGTGACCTATCAGAGCCGCCGGTCCGACTGCTCACCAGACTCCCTCTGGCAGCGTCCGCGTCACTGCCCCCCGACACTCCCGCCCCACACATCTGGAGAGAGAAGATGTCCGGGATCCCAGTCTGCCTCACCACGGAGTTGAAGAAAGGCGTCACAGAACTGTCCGGCTGGAAGACAGACAGAGGCAGAGTTAAAGGACAAGACATGAAGCCCCTCCTCCTTTCTAGTACAATCTCTCTAGTACAGTCTCCAGAGTCAGACAGTAACGTACTGGACAACTCACTTTACGTCTGTCCCCACCATGATTAAGGACGTGTTTTATAAATATCAGATCAAACCTGTTGCATACAGGCAAACTCATCTAGGCAAAAGCCAACACCAAGATAAAGGTTACCTGGACTGTAAATGGTGTATAGAATTAACAGTACAAGTAAAAAAACTGACAATCCTTGCTTGAAAACTCTAATTTAGAGCATTCATACAGCTGAATTATCACATATGTCAAGTATGTGATCCTCCCAAACATGGATCTGCCTGTACCTGAAGCCTAAACAGTCCAATCAAATACTGCAAAAAGCATTTCTCATTAGAAAACATCTAAGTGATAATTCGTACAATACTCTGTTTTTTTCAGAATGCTGAACAGAAAGCATAGTTTTGCCTCTATAAGGCTTTGAAATACAGTAAGGTGATGAAGCCCAACCCAAGTTTACTTTTTGATAACAGGTTTTTCCATATTCTGTCACACCTTCGCATAACAATGCACGTCAGCCATGTGTCCTTATCACTGGAAAATGAAATGCAAAAGCACTGACAGACACTGACGTGGTTTTCTGTTACAATAACCACTGAAATAGTGCACCCATTTACCCTAGCCAGCACTGGGTATGCCAGTCCCAGAATGCCTTGCCACTTCACCCCAGGCAAGAAGAAACCTTCTGAGCTCAGGATGGTGGCGATATTGATGGTGATCGCGCTAATGGTTCCCTTCGTGATGGAAATGAGGTCGGTGCCGAGTTCCCCCACCCAGCTGCCTTGCGTGTATCTCACCGACACTGTCCTCCCACTTGGCCAATAGGTACTGGAGCTGAAAATAAGACAGCAAGGACTAGAACGTCTTCCAGGACAAAAGGAACTGCACCTCAGACAACACATCAAGACGCAATGAGCAGCAGGTCGGTCCCAGCGAGCTGCTGCCCCTGGTCACCCGACCAGTGGAGAGAAGACAATTGGACAGGTGAGGATTAAGAGACCAGGGAGCAGATGCGTCTGAGGCTGGTGAGCATCTGCCATCTGGACACTGAGGGTCGAGCCTCACCACAGGGGGAAGGAGGCGACTGACCAGGAACTGGCGACCCTGCTCGTGACTTTCGGGTTTCGGGCAGAATTTGTCTTGAGGCTGATAAGCAGCTTAGTTGCCTGGCAGCCCCGACAGAAAGGCACCCTGGGAAGGCACCTAGTAAGTAGCTCGAAGAGGAGCTTAAGCTTTTGTTTCTGCGGTATGTGGTTGCCTGCTTTTTTGCTCTATTTTCTTGCACCGTAAATAAAAGAGCAATGGTTTTGTACCTTACTCCTGCTGCGTTTGTGTGTGTTCGCCATCATCCACCTAGCTGAAAGATCGCTTACTCTGGCACCCCAGGCCCAGAGTGTGTCTCTTCCTTGTTTATATCTGCCTTTCTCGAGGGCTCGGAGCCGCTCACTGTGACCGCCCTTTCCCAGTCCAGGCTCAGTTATCACAGACTGGTAATGTCTGTGGAAATCAGCTACAAAATTATTCTGCGAAGCTGAAACTAGTAATATGCACAACGTGTTATCTTCCTGGACGAATGACAGTATACAAATATAATTCAAATACAAAAAGGCGAAGACCTTGTGCTGCTTACAGAGAGGAATTGAAAAAGCGCGAGATGTAGGGGTCTCGAGCACCAGCCACAGCAAAGTTACTGCTTCCAGTGTCAACCAGGATGTTCAGCTGCAAAAGAGGAGGGGAGAACAACCGTTAGTGCAGCCGTGCAGGAAACACAAACGCATGGTTCCTGATCACCGTGAGGCTCATTGTACTGTACAGATCTAGACTGTCACTGCTGTTAAGACATACATTTATATTATCACCATTCAAGGTGGTTAAAAGTAAACGAACTAACACTGAATATTATATTGAATTTACTCATTGTCCAGAGAATATCTTCCAGACACTTTTGCAAATTAGACAATTCACCTGTACATAAATTTTTTTCAGGGGAAACGTTTTAACTATCTAGGAATCCGATGCAATTTCCACACTTCATAAAAAACAGACCAGACAGTACCGCTGTATTTACACCGCGCAGCTGAAGAGATGGCATCTCCAGCGCCAATTCAACAAGCAGGAACTAATGAGCTAACACACTATAGCAATCTCAGTTACAGACACCGAAGGAACATTAAAAGCATTTTTCATCATTAACAGGGCTATTGGCTTAGTGTTCCTCTGCTGCATTCAGCAAGGGAGTTTATTTTCCAGATAAGTGCTTTCTTAAATCTTGTTAGGCTATTTAACTTGCTTGCTGACCGCTTTAATTTGATGAAGAACAAACATCGGAGAAGGGGCTGCGCGCCACACCAGCAGCACTGCCGCCACAGGGGAGAGGAAGCCGGCAGAACGGGGGTGTCCTGCTGGTTACCTTGCAGGCTCAACTGGGAAAGATGGAGCGCAGGCAGTGGGAGTGCTAGTGAGAGGCACATCTCGATGCTCATCAGAACACAGCGCCTCACAGCGCTCCTGTGCCACTTAAAAAAAATACAGCAAACCTTCGTGTGTGCCAAGGAGAGAGAAAAAAAAACACAGAAACGACATCAAGTTGCTAAGCTGAAAAAGTGGCACTACCCAGGACACAGATCAGGCTCACAGAGAAGAGCTCTTTTTCCTGCACTGGCCTGCAGCTGCAAGATGGAGGGGCTACTCCTGCACATGTGTGGCAGGCCTGGACAGGCTGACAGGGAGCTCCGTTCTCATTTCTTTCCAGCCTCCCACCACCACGGCGATCACGTCTGGCTCATCACCCCTCATTGAGCTGCACCGCTAATTGGCAGCCACTCAGTCATAGTGGAGGCATCTGCTACCTGCTTGTACCAATTAGCAGATGTGAAACACTCCAGTGACACCTCGTCCTCTTCAATGGGTTAACAGATGTGGCAATTAGCGGCTCATTTGAATGCTGGCTCGTTTAGCAGAAGGATCCTTAATTACATCACGGGCAGGACTGCTTTCTGCCTTCTTCTGCAGCCTGAGCGTGTCAGAAGTGTTAGCAAGGAAACCTGGAGTGTTGACAAACAGTGCCTTGAAATGCCAATTCATTCTCCATGCGCCGTCCCAGCCAGCACGCACAGAGGCGATGAGGGTACAGGCTAGCAGAGTGTCAGAGAAAAGACACAGTGCGCAGTGCTTGTGTAGAGGCAGCAGACGAGTGAAAAAATGCAAGCTGCGTACGCCAAAGACAAAGAAAATAAGGGATTCATCTTCTACCCCCCCAAAGATAAAAGTAGGCCAGTGCAGAATATCTTACTTCTTCAGTGAAACTCATTGAAATCCAGATTACAAGAGCCCTAATCCAGACTTTTCTTCTGAAAACATGATTACTTCATACAGGAGTTTGTCCTGCTCCAAAACAGATCTTCTAATAAAGATAAAGACTCTGACATTTGAAATTTAATTTTAAAACTTATTTCAAATGATGAAAAAGTACACGGCCTAAAGGATCCCAGTCTCTCTGATGACTACTGACCCAATCAAGCGCTTGTCAGTTCGAGCAAGAGGCTCTGTGTTACAGTGGTCAACATCCACACACGTGACACATCGGTTTACAGTTCCTCTAATAAACCTTGAAGAAAAGTAATGAGAACAGATCCTTTTTCATGACTTTACTACAACATTTGTTGTGTGTGTGTGTATAGCATATACAATTTCACTGATTTTGAAATATGAAAGTCCTTGTAATATAACTAGGTATGACCAGGACTAGCAGGGCTCTGCTGAAATGGTTATACAGTATGCAGATGCAGTTTCACAGCTATGCTGAGTTAATATTACGGGCTGCAAACGTTTTTTTGGGGGTGGGGTTCCCCATAGCTCATTCTTAGCTTTCCAGGGGTAGGGGGCCAACAGCAGCCATGGGGTGATGCCCAGACATGTTTCTTCTCTGGAGTGTCAATCTGAAACTCTCTGAGGGTGGGGGGCTGGACTGGGCCAGGCCTCGCACTGAGGCTCTGCTCAGACACTAAAGCTACATGGTTTCTGACCTGTTATTTCACTGTTTCTAGCAAACCAATGTCTTTCAGCACTGACACTGTCTGCATCACCAGATGCTGGGGAACAACGCACAGTGGGGAAGGCTAAGGGATTCCACGGAGCCAGAGTGAGAGCTGAAGACACTGCTCTAGGCCAGACCCCCGTCAAGAAAAGAAAGCTCCTTTCAGGCCTGTGTGGGTAATCCTCATCAGCTGCCTCCACCGCAGCGGCCTGCAGGGAGTCATGTGGGCTCATGTGAGCTCATGTGAGGCTGAACTGAGAGCCTGCGCAGCCTGTACTGGAGAAGGGGGCACAGCAGCACCTCATGACCCAACTGTGGCCAGAAACAAGCCCATCGCAGCTCCAGGCCAGCACAGAGCAATCCCTCCTGCCTCTGCCCTAGCACAAGACCTGGACCAACACTTGTACTCTACTGCACTTCTGTGAAGAAGGGTACCCAGGCTGCATTTACTGCTCTGCAAACTCCTGTGCTTGCTGGGAAGATATTAAAACTCATTTGCTGCAGATTATTTTTCTGTTTGCATTTTTTCACACCAAAGATCAAAGGGCGAAGTCTGTTTTCAGACCAAACACAAATGAAGCAAGTGTTGACATTTCTGTTACCAGGAAATCCCTCAACTTCACTGCTCCTGGACAAAGACAAGCTCTACTGATGTAAAAGAACTCAAGAAAGGTCCCAAAACAAGAGGCCAGTCAGCCTCTTTTTCTACCTAGTAGCTCACTGATCCAATAAACTACTGAGCTACATACTGGCTGTACTGACCACATGAGCTGGTCCAGCACTCAGGTACAGGTGTGGCAGTTCACTGCAGTCTCCATGGCCTCTACGTGTACATGACTGCTTTAATGAGCACTGAAAAAGAAGAAGACTTTACCAGCCTAGAGCTGCATACCAGCCTGTGGCCTCCAAGACGCACCCAGAACATGCTGAGCCCACGCCTAACTTTATCAGATCAGTGCACACCCCAGTTTCTTTTCTCTCCAGTGGCTGGCTATCTTCTTCCTATTCATACACATTACTGAGCACCATGTCTCTCATAACACTTTACAAATAGGATCTTACTTCGAAACAGGACACCTCTGATGAAACATCTGTTTCATCCTTTGTCCTCCCCACTAATAAACTCTCTTTTCCATGTCCATGGTCACTGCTGACCTCCGACACAACAAGGGGAACTCTGGCCTGAGTCACCATGACAGGGCAATGACCCAAAATGAAACAACAGCAGGCAGAGATTATTTATCAGATGGGTGAAAAAAGTAACTTGAATTGCTTCAGTAATCAGCTTTGTACAGCTTTGTTTCGCTACGTTTCCGAGTTAAAAGCACTTAACTTATAATTGCCTTAGGGGGGGAAACCGTATACATGCCAGATATCCAGTTGCGATTATCTTTAATCATTAATTTAACTGTAAAATGACTTACTCGTTTCGACCGCTGATGTAAAGCAGCTTGAATGTTTGAAAGCAAAAAATAGATTATACTGTACCAACGAGGCAAAAGATGCCCACGGAAATGCTGACTTCCACCAGAGTCGTAACAGAGTGAAAGGCAAATAAAAAAAAACTATCAAAATGTAATTTGTCAGTTTAGACAGGTCATTCTAAACTGTTAGGAGAATGATACGAGCTGAAAATGAGAATGCACAGGAGGGGTTCACACAACACAAAGTACTGTACTGCATTTTCACTGGTAACAACGGTGCAAAATAAGAAGTTGAAAAGACTCAATAACTCACCGTCTGCGGCGGCGTTCCGATTAGCATCTCTATGTAATAGCCTCTGCCCGAGTCCCCGTTTAAATTCCCCAACATATCTAAAAAGTTCACTTGTCCAGTAGGGTCGGAAGCCAACGACAGTCCTCCAGAAGTGGCATTCTTCTTCTGCAAAGGGGTCAAATCTAAATCCACAGACGAATTAAATTTCCCGGCGAACAGTTTCAGAGGAAAAGTTAAGTGCGAGCAACACGTCCTCGAAAACAACACTAACCACAGAACGCGCAGCGTATTTCTCATTTCTCCCATGTCCGTCACAGCACAAACGTTTAAAAGACAATCTAAATGTTAAAAGAAAGAGCCAAACAGAACGTCAAAGTAACCTCCCCACCGTTTTCATCTTAAAGAATGATGAGAAGGGGCCGACAAAGCTGAGCCTGCTGTCTTCCAACAAACGCGAAAGATCAAACGCCACAGTCCCCAGGAAGGGAAAAGGAAACGCAACGTTCCGATAATAACTTTTTTAGGAGACTTTAATGCACCACTAATTAAACTGGAGAAAAAAAAAACTTTTACTTTCTTAGCAAGAACTTCCTCAATCCCATGTGACGGATGTGACGAATCCCTACAAAGGGGCGTATGGCGATGGCCGGTTTCGGGCAGTGACGCTCCCGACAGTGGCTCCGGGCTGTCCCGGTATCCCAGTTTGCGAGTCTGTTTTCCGTGTGGAGGGGGTAAAAGCATTTGGACTTTCAAACCTGGTTTATTTTTTAAGTCGTTTTGAAGTTCCTGTGTGGAGTCCAATAGGATTTAGGGGCTCTCTACCACCAGTCCCAACAGAAAACCTAAAGCACTGGATTGTTCTATAACCGCAGGTTTCCCTGGAAGGATGTGCTGTTTTAATAACTGTTTTCGGCCGCGTTTTCTTGCTTTTGCTGACGTTTTTTTACAGTGCTTCGTAAGGAGAGGCCTCTTACATAAGAACACATTTGTATTGTAAATTTAGCTTCGTGCTCAAGCGTTTTTACATTAATTTGTTTATTTAACTCTTATATACAGCACAGAAAAGGGGGTGGTATATGGAGGCTCTTGTCTGACCTGTTTCACCATTCCAGTTGGCCTAAGCTAAATACTGTTCCAGCCTTTCATTCCTCTAGTTCATGTGCTTGTCTTGGGCAGCTCGGTGTTCCTGGAGATTTTCCTGCCTCTCTCTGCCTTGCTCCATAAAACAAACACTTGTTTTTGTGGATTATTTGGCCTCCTTTTGAGAGACTTCTCAGCTTTGCATCCCTTGTAAAATAAAACGATCATTAAAAATAAGCACAAGGTACTTTTTGAAGGATTACTTAGGATGTCCTTCACTGCCCTGCATGTATTAGATCTTAAATATTATTTATAGTGCCTTGCAAGAGATGCAGCATTTTGGCTGTGGAGCCTTCTTCAAAACCTTTACTTGTTCCTTTGCAGCCTACACATGCTGACAATGCTACCTACCTAAATTGATTTAGGTGCACAAAATTACAGAAATGAGGCACACAATTAGTTGAGGCTATGTGCAATAATAGTGGTTCTCTTGAATGCCATTGGGTATCCTGCAGCATCATGGGAGGAGCCCAGTAAAATCACTGGTCAACATGCAGTAATTTCAAGTGGGAGCTGCATTAGGTCACGTAGGCTGCAAAGGAACCAGTAAATGCTGAAAAGAGAAGAAAAACAACGTTTTGGCTGTGGAGCCTTCTGAAGAACTAATTTCTCCCTTCTTTGCCTGGTTAGTGTATGGGCTTTCAGTTTTACCTGCATGCACGGGCTTGGGCACAGGGGACCACACAGCCTTCAAAGGTCTTCCGTGCCTCTGCTTTTGACACCCAGATGAACCAGACTCTCACATTATCCACTGAACACCCCCCAGAATCTCACATTATCCACTGAACACCCCCCAGAATCTGCACCCCAATCCACGGGAACCACTGTCTGTGCTGCTGAAGCACCAGACTTCTAGCAGAGGGTCAGTGCTGAGATTTGTCAGAGGATCCAGATTTCACATTAGATACAGCGGGGCTATATTCAGTTTGTGTAGATATACTGCACATTATTTACACAATATTGACGAAGTACTTTTTTAGCACATGATTCTTCTGTTCTGTGTTATCTGCATCTACCACCTACTTCTGGATTCATCAATAGGCCATTTGGCAATAAAATGGACTTTTGAAGATGAAAGCCACAACCACAACACATGCTGTCTTTTTGGTAAACAAAGTTTGAGAGGGTCTCTTAGGGTCTATTAAGAAACGCCTGACTCTCCTGTAAACAAAACGAAGAGACAAACTGTTTCATGCGGTTTGCTGGCAACTGGGGGACCTACTGACCTTGAATTAGTAATGATAATGGACAAGCTTTTCTTTAGAAGCTGTATCATAGTGTCTCACCTGTCAGGGCTCCTGTGAGGGAGATCCTCTGTTTTTTAGCATAAATAAGGACAGACCAACAGGCTCACTTTTTTTATCCAAAAGCTTTTAAAGGTGTTTTTTATTTTTGTATCCAACAAGACTCTGATCCCATTCTGACACATTATCTGGTTTCCACCCAGCCTGGGTGGTGAAACTGAGACAATGTTATAATGATCTATAAGGGATTCATGGATTTCTAATACAAGTCACATTATAAGAGAAATACTATTTATTCAAAGGCCTCAGTTAGCTATTAGTCTGTAATTTTGATGTTATGGTTTATTTTTAAAACCGAGTGTGAAAGGGATGTCATGGTTTATGGAAAGCTACTGTAGTTAAAGAGAGAACAAGATACAGCAGAATTCTGGAGCATGAAAGCACATCACAAGCTGACCAAAGTGGTTATGTAGGTCAGTTAATGGAGTGACAGGATACCAAGCAAATAATGGAAGCTGCTGACTTTGTGGAGTCTGATTGCGAGACTGTGGGGCATACACATGTACTGTATATTGCATACTTTATATACAGTCTGTATTTACATATTTTTTAAAAGTGCACACCCCAAGATTTGCTATTTATTCTGCTTTGAATGTGCTTAATTTTTTTTTAAAGTATTTCTTAGATGTGTGTGAAGTCATCCTGAGAGTAAAGACTAAAATGCTGCAGGAAGTCAGCAGCAGTGTGTTTTGCTTCTTAGGTTTAGATGCTTTGTAGCTGTCATTTTATTTTAAAATAATAGATTTTTATTCTGTTTTTCAAAAACATATAAGACATTATTTCCTGCTCAGCTATTTTATATATTTATACGAATGGTTGCTTTAGACTGTATTTACAGTTTATTATTCCAATAAAAATGATTTTAGAACATGACATAAAATAGACATGACCATGGTGTTTTTGTTATTTTGTTTGGTGCTCTCATGATAGCTGTAGCTTGCTGGAAGCACAGACTATATTTGGTCTTGTTTTTTATAAAGAGAACAGACAAGTGCCCAGGCAACTAATCCCTTAGGCCCTTTACACTGTATATCAGTCATGTCTTGTGTCCTAGAGACAACCACGCCAGCTTACATTAACCCTCTCCTTCCCAGCGAGAGCACCGAATTGTAACCCAGGAGATTTCTGTCACAGTGCGTATGTGTAGCACTTTTTACAGAATTGTTGCACTTCTTTATTCGGGTCAAATTTCCGGACCATTTTGAAGTGATGTGTTGGTTTAATGCCATATTAGTATTGTTTGAATGTGTTCTCTCCCTGCCCTATATAAAGCATGGAAGGGAATATCAATCGCATAGCTTTCGGTAAATGCCCTGTTTGTGTTTGGACTGGGCCACAGGGATGAAGAGCTCTGTTCTTGCCTGTGCCAGGTGTAGAAGCCTCCAGCAGACAGCTAGACATACTGTACACCTGCATTCTTTTTGATTTTATAAGTTGTATTTATTAAAAATGTGGCAGCACAATGGTGCAGTGGTTAGTTTTGCTGCCTCTCAGAGCAGGGGCTCTGGGTTCAAATCCTAGGATGCTATCTGAGTGGAGTTTGTACAGTATGTTCCAGCTTCCTCCCAAGCTTTTACTGGATAAGTGGATTAGGAAATGGATGGATGGAGATATTTAGATGTTTCGTTCCTCATGCTCAGAATCTCATTTTCTTTTAGCCTAAAACCAAACGTTAACCAAGAAGAGGAGGGCATTTGACTCAGTATTACTCATTTGGTAGCTTATTGATCTGACATTTTTCCTCCTGTTATTTCTGGAACAAGATCCAGCAACATGCTCGGTCAGTTTGTCCCAGGCATCTAAAACCCTTTGTGTGAAAAAGCAACTCTTATTCCTGTCCTGAAATACTCTTTCTTTTAACCTACCTAGAGTGTTTAGTTCACTGCTGAGCATAAAGCACTGGGTTGAATTTATTAAAATTGTTCTGGGATTGGGATGCTTGTTTCAGGTTTTCTTGTAGTCGTGTTGGATCAACACCAGAGATATTCAGTTCCCTTTATCCCGCTGGTGTGTGACATTCTCTTTAGACACAGGAGTATCCTTGTTGCTCTTTTAACTCTTTCTAGGGCAGCAATGCCACCCTTATAGTGCAAAGACTGTGCACAATATTCTCACAAGATCTAACTAGTGCAATGTATAACCATGATCATTACCTTCTTTCAATTCTACACCTTTACAATATACCTTATATATACTGTATGGCCATGTTAAGTCAACATAAACTACTTGTTTATATTTCATAAGCTTGTAATTTGTAAAACTACTGTGACATGAAAAAGCATAATGAACTTAATGTGTATTTTAAGAAGTATGTTTCCCAAAGAACAGAGACGTAAAAGGACAGATTTAATTTAAAAAACCAGTTCAAGTGAACTTTAATGGCATTGAAAGTGCACTTGCTTCCTGCTGCTGCAATGCCTGAGTCTGGCAGCAGAGGGCTCTCTGCCACCTCGCTCCTCCACTGTGGCCCCAACACACTGGAGAGCGAAGTACCCAGATTAGCGGAATGAAGTGCTTCACAGTCACTTATGCAAATCTTCTTTACTGGAACAGCGATTCTTAATCTTTGTGAACTTCATCTTTCTGATGAGCAGCGAGGAGGATAACGGATGATATAAAGACGACAGTAAACCCACTCCCCTTCAGTCTTTCCTTGGCCAGCCTGATGAAATACCGCCCCCCTCCCGATGCCCACGCTCCTCTAGTCAGCTGAGTGCACCTTGGCTCCTGTTTGACTCGACTGTCTCCTGAAGTGAAGGTGAGCACTTATACCACATTAAAGAAGCAGGTGATTGATTTAGGGAGAAATTAAACAAATATATTAAATATCGCGTTTATTACAGCCTTGAAATTAGGAATTCTTCAGTGTGTCCTCATCCAATGAAATCCAGCAGTTGGTCAGCATTTCAAAATGCTGAGACACTTTCCCTGCCAGGTACTGGCCTCCTGCTTCACTCTGTGAAGGACCAGAGCTCTTTCAATCGTTTGGTTAGTTCAGATAATCCTATTGCCTGGTCAGCAGTCAAGCCAGACCGCGCAGCTGAAAGATGTATTGTCAGACATGGCATGGCAGACATGGCAGAGAAATACTTCATGATATTTAATTGTCGTTACAGACCCATTTTCACAGATT